CGAGGGACGAGCCTGGCAACAGCACAGAAAAGCTCGAATGCGACTTGGAATTCGATTTGCTTGATGCGCTGTGCGATAAGCTCCCGAATCGGAAGCCGATGCGGCTCAGGTTGATCAAGCACTTTCCGCGGCATTGCAGGTGCTCCAAACCTCATCTGCGGTGTGGGCACGGCTTCCCAGCTGGTACTTGTGTCCGTAACACAAGGGCTTCGGCATGAACCGAGCTGAGAAGAAGTCGCTGGACTTGTGGTCTTTGAACCTTTGCTGGAGGATGACTTTGCTTCGTCCATTTCTTTCAGCAACTTTGCTCGATCTTTTGGGCCGAGCGTTTTCCAATAATCCGATGGGATGTCCTTGGGGCGTTTGCTGCCTTTGTACGTCTTCACCACTCGAAGACCATCCCAATGGTAGCCTTCAGGAATAGGGACCCCGGCCGGCGTAGTGTCGGGCTTGTAGTCCTCAGCTTTGTCAGCTGCCGTGACTTCAATTTCGGGTTCCACACCCCCCTGTTCAAGTACACCTTCTGGAGCTTCGGATGGTGTGTACTCTGCGAGGTCAGCATCCGCAAGTGGAATCGGATTGGGAGACTCGATAAGGTTGAGCTTTGGGTCATCAGGGATAGCTTCCTTACGATCTTGTTTGACACGCAATGGAAAACTAAAACCGCCTGGAAGGAGCTCAATTTTCTTTGTCCTCTGGATCGTCAAACTGTTGTGTTCAACATGGTAGTCTAGTGCTTCCAACTTAGCAACTAGGTACTCCCCACGCCACTTGTGTCCTGGCTGTACATGATAACCAAGAAACACACCTTCCACCGAAGTGGGCGACAGCTTTCCTGCTGTATTGTCGGCTCGATTGGGGTTATTCCAGAATAGGACTTTTGCACCAAACGGAATGGCCATGCCTTCAAACATTTCTCCAAAACGCAGTTCCCATGGGCTTGGAGATGAGTCCAGCTGATCACTCGTGTTTGTTGCCATTGCAAAATGTTGAATGGCGAGTGGCCAGTACTGGAGGGGCATTCCGGACTGAACAAGATTGGTGCGCGTTCCCTCAAGCATGTTCCTAACTTCCCTTTCGATGAAGCTCTTGGAGGAGTCCACGTATTCAACGGAGGTTTGGCGGCGATACCCTAACTCCTTGATACCAGCTATCAGCTCACGGGAATTGTCGGTGTAAATGACCTCGACTGCATCATCCGGGGCAACAAAATGCTGAAGAGCAATCACTACCTCATCCGAACTCTTGGACTGAGATGGGTAAATACTCCGGAACTTTGTATGCAGGTCTTTCACAACCAAAGCTACCCGTTCACCACGACTCCCTTCTTCGATGTTCGCGCGCACGACGACGTGGTCGGCGATCAGATGATCACCAAAAGCCTTAGTCTGAATGCGGCTCTCACCCCCTTTCTTTCGTGCCTGTGGTGCAAGCATCCTTGCTCGCTGGCACACTTTGCAGAATGGGTTCTTGGGGAAGTGGTGATACTGGTGTTTTGCGGACTGTGCTTCACGCATCAAGTCTCCAACTTTTCTTGATCGCACCAAACGGCTCTCTTCGTCGTCTGGCACTTCCTCGTCGATGCCCTCATCCTCTTTCTTATCCGACGGGCTCGAGATTGCTCCCGGCATAGCAAACAGCTTCTTCAGAGGCTTGTCCTTCTTGAACTTGCCCTTTCCAAAGACTTTGCATTCGGAGTCGAGGACTGGGACATGACCATCAACACGAAGTTGAACTATTTTCTCATCTGGTCGCACAAGAATCGGAGTACCGTTTGCTGGCCACACAAAACTATACCCTTGGTCAAGGCATTTGATGCCAACTGAGAGCACAGCAGGGCATTCATCCAGCAAATACGGCGTGCAAGGCTCCAGTAGCTGCTTCATCTTGACGTCAGCTACCTCACTGGCTTCAGTCGACCCATTCGCAGTAATCAGACTGATGGTGTGAGGAGCCCGTCTTGGGTTCTCCGCACCAGCAGCATCCATAACTTTCCTGCTGAGGAGGTCTTGCTCACTCCCAGAATCGACAAGCCATGAGAACCTGCCTTCCCTTGGTGCTGGACCAGCAACGATAGTCGGGATGGTAGTAGGACATGTCTTCAACTTGATTAAGCTTCGGCACTCACGACAAGTAAGCGACGATTCGGTGCACAGAAAACGACATGAGGGCACTGTTGCGCTATCAAAGCTTCGAACAACTTCAGCCAACTGCCTAGCTTTTACTTTGGCCATGTGGGCTGCCTTTGGGTCGCTCTTGGGCACGCGATCGCTCGTGGCAAAATGCACACTGTACTTGCGCTCACGCTTGACCATTTTGCAATGTTCCCCGCGAGCAGGGATGGTGCGAATTTCAGGTTTCATAACGAATGTAGTTCTTCGGACAGACGACTTAGACCTCTTTCTCGCTGGAGGAAGACAGGACTTCTTGAGACATGACCGTCCGGGCACACCAGTCGCAAGACATGCAAACCGATTGCTCAGGCAAATGGCAGCCTTCTTGGTATCTCCTTTTGCCTTTGGCTTTGGGGAGTCCTTTCTTGGCTTCGTTTTCGGAGCCGGTGCTGCCTTTTCTCCATGTTTGAAAAAGCACTTGTCTCCTCTTCTGCATGTACCTTGTTGATCGTACCTGCATGGGGTCTTCGCCATCTCTTCCTTAGTCATCCGCTTCTTTTCCTTATCTGTGCTTTTGTCCCTCGACTCATTCCGCTCCCGGGATGGTTGGCGCTTCTTGGAAGGATCACGCTTGGGCTTTTCATGCTTGAACTTGCAATCTTTCCCTTTTGCACACTTTCCCTCCAAAAAGGCCCAACAAATGCCCTTCTCCCGAGAAGTGGATCGTCCGCGCGATGGCGAACGCTTTCGCCGAGGATCAACAGTAGGGGCTGCGTTCTTCTCATGTCGATCACCTGGCTTGAGCCGATTTCGCTCCGCGATACGTGATCGATTCTCACGAAGGCGTTCCCGATCTATCAGATCCTTGATGCTTTGCAGTAGGAATTTGTAAGACCGATGATGGTCACCTTCTTTTGCACGATCGAAGAGATCGATGTCGTACCTCAGGATTGCGCTAGTGCGGATCTGCCTTAAAAGGATGTCTCGAAGCACGTTTTCGTGCGGTGGTTCGGGCATACCAGCGATGGTAGCGTCCCAGCGGTTGATGAAACGCTTCAAGTCCGCTACAGTATCGCCTACCTTTACCACATTGAGGAGATCTTCGACCCTATAGAGGCTACCCGCTTCTTCCGAGGTCTTGAAATAGTCATCGAACATGAGAAGAATCATCCTTCCTCGAACCTGGATGCCTAGCTTTGCCTTCTCTTCTTTGTAATTGATGATTCGGTTTGCTAGATCACCCTTTGCACTTCTGGTCAGCGCAGCTGCCAACTTGGTATCCAACGTTGTGAACTTCCCAGGGTTAGACAACCGCTCTTCCAGAACTTTTCTCTCATCAACAGTGTTGTAAACCTCCATTAACCAGTCCCAGGCAGCATCTGGTTTGTCAGAACATGACTTGATTTCGTCCCTCACATGATGTTTCCACTGCCGATAGGTTTCAGGGGTTGGCATGTCATTCAACTTGATATGATCTGCCTCCTTTACCTTTGGCTTCTCATCTGACTCTCTTTGAGTGAGTGACTTGACCAATTCAATCACCTGCTCAGAGGTGATGGCACCTGATGACGCTGGCTTATGGGGTTCGCGAATTGAAGGTGCAGGGCTATGGAACAAATTTGTCGGTGTTTTGCCCCCATCCGCTGCTGTGCCTCCGTAAACTGGAAGCACGGGCTTGATAGGAGCAGCTGCCCCTGGTGGGGCATCACCGATGATGGTGGCCGTCGGCGCTTTGGGTGCGAACAGTCCACTCAATCGTGCAGTAGCCTCTGCTGCAATGGTCTCCAGAGGATTTTTCCTCTTTGTGTCATCATGCCTAGGGGTAGACACTGGTGTGTTCATGACACTTGTTGGATGGTACTCTAGCTCGGGTCCAGCATGCATTTTGGCTTTAAGGTCATCGAGCATTTGCTGCAGGCTATAGTTTTCATTTTCTGCGTCGCGTAGCTCACGTCGAAGCTGAGTTTCCCGCTCATCGAACTCTGCACGAAGCGTTGCCACACCTTGCTCGGCACCACTAGTGATGGCAGTGACAGTTTGCTGACAATCGTGCATAAGCTGAATACGCAAGGAGTCCAGTTCTGCTTTTCTGGCTTCAGCCTCAATAGACCTCTCACTCTCTAGCTTTAGGATCCGCGCTTTTGCAGCGCTAAGTTCCCCTTGCACTTGGTTGTAGCTAGATTGAGCTTGCTGCCTTACCGAACTGAGTTCCTCATGATGCTTGCTCGCAACCTCATCGATTGCTTGACGAAGCTTGGTTTTTACCATGTCCAGCCATTGTCCCATTATCTCTTTGTGCCTTCTCTCTGCCTCAGCAATGATAGCGTCTTCGTTTCCGTTGTACACTTGTTGGATGTTTTGCTGCACGAACTGAAAGTAAGCTGTGACAGGAGCTGAACCCATGGGGTCCTCTAGATCCACCGTGGGCTCAGTCATGAGACCGGCTGGGACTGCTACCGATGATGTGCCGTTCCCAGGAATAGCGAGAGCGTCCATGGCTGTGGTTAGAGCACTACGGCTGATAACCTATAGAAACAGCCGTTAAGCTGCAACTCCTGTTTTGGGCCGCGAGCTGCGAAAGGTAGATCTGCGTGACATCCTACTATGTGCAAGGTACAAAGTGTACATATTACATGGAGTGAAAATACAGTATGTAATTAGGTTGCTTTGTTAGGCTCCGTTGCTTCTTCGGCTCAATATGTTGGATGATATCCTAAACAGTTGTGAAAAGGATAAACCGCATACGGTATAGTATGGTATAGTTGCTGCATTGAAGCCAAAAGTCAGCAGCTGGACAGAAACAGTCCTTGAATGTATAGAAAGCCACGGCCCCGAGTCAGCAAGGCGGAACTGTGAAATCTGACATTACAAAGCAACTATGGGGTCCTCCTGAGGCACTGCACCTCGTGTCTCATCCTTTGCACAAACGCAGCAAGCGCGCACAAGTCACAAGCAAAAGATTTGAAGAAACAAAAGTGCTGCGCCTACCTAAAATGAGTATCACTACAAGATACATTGATGCATGCTGTGGTATGCACTAGCATGCACTCGCCATATGTTCGTCTTGAGGGATGGACGTGATCTATTGGCTTAATGTGATCGCGCGTAACAAAAAGCGACCCACTGAAACCGAGGCAGCTACCTCAAGTTCATCGCCGGTATTCTCGTCATTGGTGTGGCTTTCCTTCAATGTGCTTGTTTAACAGCTGATGGCTGGACAGGTCTTTCAATGAAACTGTCTCATCCTGCTTCCAAATACAACGATTTCGTATAAAGAGGTTCAAGAGGCTCTTCAAGAGACCTCAACGTTTCTCCTGTATCCTTTGCTATGTAATTAATCAGCAGCTGAGATTAGCACAAAAAGGCCAAACATTGCAGGACGCACATGCGAGGCTACTTCTGGCGTACACAAAGTTGGCACTGCATGAATTTGGCAAACATGCGAGAAATGGACAATTTGCAGCTTTGGAACCAGCTGGGAAACTCTCCTAGATTAGCATCTTGGGGAGGAGGTACATGATACTCATGCCGTGGACACGCAATTGCTCAGAATAAAACTTGAGCCAATGGCACTCATTCCAAGTTGTCTAAGAGAAGTAGCCACAAGCTGTTCTTAATGGAGCCCCGTCACTTATAGCCTTTGGGTGTATTTGGAATATGGTACGCCAACCGGGAATGCCCAAAGGAATGCTACACGTACATTCACAGAACAGGCTACCAGTGTGCGCAAACGCTATATTTGACATGTGTTCTTACCAGTTTCCTGTCAATCCAGCACCAACCAAAACCAAAAAAGAAGGAACACAATTACTTCAATCTTAGCTCTCTCAATGTTTTCATGATGCCTGATTAAGAAAATCATCTAAAACCAAAAACCAAAAAAAACGCTGGCGAAGACCTATGGCTGAAACTCTCCAACAAAGGTCTGCTTTGCTGCTTTTCTTGTCGTTTTGTTTTGCGGTTTTCCCTGGGTTGCATGATGTTTCATGAGGCCAAGTTATTGTTCCCCTTCTGTTGCAAAAGAAAGTTGCAGTGTAGATATTGAACAGCAAATGGTATCATGCAAAACAGTCTAGATTTGTGCGTGTCTTTCCTTCATTCGTTCATTCTTTATCTCTTTCTTAATTGGTTAGTTATTTAATTAATCAGTTCACCAATATATACTGTACGTATATTATATATATAGTTATATTAATATATGTTTATTTCCTTGCTTGCTTGTATCCCATTTAGCAGCCGGTCCTCCACGATCATCTTCGGCGAGGCGGGAAGGAAGCGGCACCGATCAATTTGGCAGATCGCTTGATACGACGACAGAGGTGGAGAGCATCGGCGGGAAGGGGAGTGGGTTGGGCAAGCTTGGGTGTTAAAAGAAAAGTGCGAAGAAAGGAGGAAAGGAATGTGGTCAGAAGAATGGTCTGTTTGTCAAAGGACAAGAGAAGAAAAGAGGTTTGGGGAGAAAGGAATGAAGCAGCGGCCTAGGAGGAGTTGTGGAAAAGCGGTTTGATGCAGAACTCTGTTTTACTTGAGCTGCGCATCCAGCTTGAACAACAAAAGCTAACTGACATGTTAAGGCTTCGGTGAGAACTCCATGTTTCGACAGGTTGCCAGTTCTGGTAGACCTGATGAGGGGGCATGGTGGGTGATGGGTGGGTAAGGGGTGGGTGAGGGGTAGGGGATCAAATAACTTTCTGACAGTGAATACAGTGAAGCAACGTATCCGTGGGGCGTATGATGTCAGGTAACATTTTGGACCCTTTTTGCAATGTGAATGTGGCCATGGATAGTGCTATGCGCGTCGAGGGGCATGCATGGAAGATTTTGAAACAGTTCCCTGCCACACCCTGGCGCCAACTAGGAGCAAGGACGCTACTAGGGGCTCCTGGCATCGCTACTAGGAGCAAGGACGCTACTAGGGGCTCCTGGCATCGCTACTAGGAGCAAGGACGCTACTATTATGCAAAAGAAATATACCTTTACTCAAACGGTCAGCTGCCGCATGCAAACTGCGGTGAAAAAGAACAGCTGCGACCACCGAGCCTCCTTTGGCTGGATTTAGTCATCCTCGTTCTACTGTGTTTTGCATACTACGAACGTTTGTTTGTTTTGTCCAGAGTGTAATCGAAACATTGTACATCTTTGTACACAGATACTTTTGAAGGGGCAATCAGAGCATCAATTGAAGGCATAGCTGCGTTGCAACTTGCTAAGTCAGGTTGGTGTGAAATGTTCATTGAGAAAGCAAGTGCAAGGGATCCAATATGCTTCTTGCTTGTCACAAATTTTGCCAGTGGTATCTTGTGGTGTTATCATCTTGAGTGACTTCTGTTGGAGTCTCGGACTTTCTGCACAGGTCACAACGCATGTGAAGCGCAGTCCAGTCATCATTATCTCTTCAATCGTACCCTTTGCTCAAGGATGCCAAAGGAAATCCATGCCTGAACAAATTATCCGGATCCCACTTCTTCTTCAATTCCAGCAACAATGATGTTTTGTGTCCGAAGCTGTACCGTGCTAGATGTTGGTCATCTGGCCCGAGATCTGTGGCATAACTTCCCAGAGATTTGGGCAGCAGCTGCTCTACCACTTGCATAACCCATGTCTTGCAGGCCAAAGCTTCAGTTGCAAACGAATCATCTTGGCTCTGCCAAACTCCTGAGATGACCACTGACCACTCTGCTTCCCTCGCGAGGAAGGCACTATCTTTCTGGTCTGACACTGCTCCCCCCATGTGCTGCAGGTGAAAATAACAATGCTGTGTTGGGGCAGAGCTTATGCTTTCAATCAGCTCGGTGTGAATCTCAGCTTCTTTGTGGAAGAAAAGAGCGCGTACAAAAAAGCCGCGTTTAGAAAGAAAACCCTCATGAACGATCCCTTCAGGCTGCTCACATAAATAGGGTTCATGCTCCATCAATTCTGAAATGTCTTGTTGTTCACGGAATATCTCCCAAAGCAACGCAGGCCTGGTAGGTAGCTCCACGTCTGGAGCACCGCTTCCAAAGTCAAAAGTATAGATTCCCATCAGGATGTTCGCCGTCGGATTGCCACTCGAATAGGCAGTTTTGTCCTTGAAGTACCTGGGGGCCAAAACCTAAAACGGCCGCCAACTTCTAAAGATTCTAAAGCGTCACAACGGCCGTGGGAAATGACATCTTTGCAGCGAAAGCTCCGACTTAGCCTTACGAAGCACCGCAAGGAAAAGATGTTTAAAAAAGGGTGAAAAAGGATGCTCAATGTTCACTGCATTCCAAATTACAGGCAGCAATCGGCACTGCAGTCCATGGGAAGCTTTGAAGACCAAGCCATGTAGTCACGAAGACATCCTGCTCGAGAGGGCGGCTCACCGATCTCAAAAACTTTTCTCACAGTGTTGCAATGGCGAAAGGGCGCTGCCTGCAAGGTTATTGATGTCACAACTCCAAAGTTCGGAGCACAACCACGTAGAGCCCAATGCAAATCTGTCAAAGACTCTTCTTGTCCCACTTGCGAAAGCTTCTCCGTCCATGGTCTGTCCTTCTGTTTCCCTTGCTCTTTTTCCTCTCGTTCGTTCGTTTGAGATACATCCAGTACTTCCCCTGTGGCTGTAACCAACTGGACTGAACGAATGGCATCAATGGCAAGTCCCAATTGCCTTGTGAGGTGTCCAACGCCGCCTTGCAGAACGAGGCCAAGGCCCACAGTTGGCGCTGTCCCAAGAGGAACTACAAGCCCCAGCTGCTTTGCTTGAATGGATAAATCTTGCAGCTTCACCCCAGCTCCGATTGACAAAAGAGCAGATTCACGTGACGCATCCGTGGCAGCCACAGCTGCAATGTCTGCCATGCGCACAGAAGTGAAGTAACACATCTCCAACACCAAATCTCCAGATTTGCCAAAGCCGCTGTGATTTCCTCCAACCACACTGATGGAGCATCCTGTCGCACCAGCTGCCCGGACACAGATCTGTACATCCTCCACACTTTTGGGCTTTGCAATAACTTGGTTTCCATGTAAAGAACCAAGATTCAAAGCCTCCAGCTCTGAAAACAACAAGGTCACCCTCTCACTGCCCATTGCTGTGCATGTGTGTCCAAGAGCTTCAAGACAGTCTGTCCTCTTTTTCATGACGGAGCTTCCGAACTTTGATTTACCCACCCAAACACTATATCTCTGAACCTGCTACCAAGCTCTTCACGGGATTCCTTTAAGCGGTGGTCAAATTGTTTGCTGTTCACTTGAGAGGATTTGGGATGGATGCTGCTGAAACTGAATCGGGGTTCTTCGCATTTGGAGAAGAGTGATCGAAATTGCTAAGAGTTCGTTGTCACACAATAGCTGTGTTCAATGCCATACCAGGCTTTTCTGGACTCATGAACCTTCCTGCCATGTTTTTACTTACCCTTGCAAGCCCAAACCACTAAGCCTACAAATCAACTTAATCTTATCCGATTCAGGAAAGTAGAATGGCGAGGTTTCGGTGCAAATCAGGACTGACCACAGTAACAAACAAACTGCCCATGCTCCACCCACTGAGATGCTTTTACATGACCGGCAAATTACAGACTTTCAAGCCACTGTTGAATGATCTGTCATTGTGACAGCATTCCAACTTTTCAGTGAGCCTGAATGGTACACTATTAAATGCATCGACGCATGCGATCATGAACAGCTGTATTTGCCACCACCCTGTGCATCAAGCAGGCATGAAATAGGTGATTGAGCTCGTGTCTCAGACACGAACTTAGGTTCTCAAAAGGAATACTCAAGAGAGAAAAATGTCCGCAAAATAAAACATAAATAGATGTGATGATATTACGTGTATATATATATATACGTATAAAGTCAGTCCATTATTATACAGTCATCGAATGTCTTTTGGTAATTCAGGTCTATGGTGTCTGCCTGTAGCGTCCAACGTAGCAGCTTCGCTGCAGTGAAACCATTAACGGTTAACGTCCAAGCTCTGGGTCCAAAGACTCGCTGCCTATCCTCATGTGAAGCTCCATAAATACCTCGCAAAACTTCGTTGGGGGGGAGAGCCCGCTCCCCCCGTGCCTACTTAATTACATAAGTGAAGGCTGAGGGGTAAGCTGCTAGCTTCTAGTACGCTAGTGCATACTGGACGCAGGATAGCTCACGCGCGCAATAATGATTTGGTTCCTAGACTTTGAGGGAAACTTGAGTTTGCAAGGTCCATCAGTGTCCTCAGATCTGTCAGTTCGAAGCCTTCATTGCAGCAACCACATAGTCGTGAAGTGCCATGGAGCGGACACCAGCCTCTGCAAAAGGATTGATTCGCAAGCTTACGCTGTCTGAAGATGTCTAAAGGCTGTTCTGATCGACTTGCATCTTGGTCATGGTTGTTTGCGCGATGACCAACACTTGTCTGCACCT